CACCGCACTTGCAACCTCTGCCTGACACGGACGACGAGGAAGGGGACGATAGACGGTCACGGACCGTGCCGCTGGGAAGCGGATCCACCCAGGAGCTGTCTCTTATACACATCTAGATGTGTATAAGAGACAGCCCCTCTTGTCTGCAAAAAAAAGGAATCCCAGATACATATCTATATACAACAGACGGCCTTGATCGATCAAGAGTCTATGACCCTTCTTTCTGGGACAAAAAAAAAAACCATAAAAGTTGGTCAGTTCGCTTTCCAGCACGGCCTTCATCGACTCTCGTAAGAGTCGAGCCTCTTGGGATAACACACAGTTTTTTTCCAAGGGCATGGTCCCCTTGCTAGGGGCATGGTCACCTTGCTAGGGGCATGGTCCCACTAGCAAGACAATTTTTTTCCAGGGGCATGGTCCCACTAGCAAGGCATAGTTTTTTTCCAGGGGCATGGTCCCCTTGCTAGGGGCATGGTCCCCTTGCTAGAGGCATGGTCCCACTAGCAAGGGGATAGGATAGAAAAGAGTTTGTGTGGCGGTTGAGTGACCCAAAAGTTGTCGTGCAGTACTCGTGAGTGATCCCATGGTCAGTATTTTACATGCATTACCCGAAAAAGTAAAGAAATCTTTGTTCCCCTCCTTCTCTCCTTAACACTAGGCACGCTGGTGCAAAGGAAGCTTCCTGCCAAAATATTTTCAATCGGTTGGGAGTATGGCCAACCCCAAAAGAGAGTCGGGTCGGCCATAGGCCCACTGGATAGAAGATTTTTCAGTATTTTGCTTCCTGTTGTGCGCAATTATATCTCATTGGGTAGAGCCCTCCTTCAATCACGGAGTATATGGAGGGTGTCAGGATCACTTCTGACAGAAGTCGATTTTATTCCAAAAAAATGTGGCGGTTACTTTGTTCACTGTTGTTGCAACCACCACCATCAGATCATTTGTGATCTGATGGCTGGGAAACACTCTGTCGTGATCCTGTCTCTTATACACATCTAGATGTGTATAAGAGACAGGTCCAAGAAAGAGGTGTGCCAAGGATTTTAGGAAAGTGGGGGTGGAGTCCCAGGTCGGATCTGAGATCTCCTGTGGCAAGTTTCGGGGGTAAAAGCGC